AGCCGAACGCACAAAGGCTGCGCCGCCCGCCGGTGCCTCGGGGAGGCGCGGAGCCCGGGGCGGGGGCAAAGATCAGGGTCCCTTGGAGGCGGGGTTTCGCCCGCGGCCCACACCCCCTGCGCGGGTCTGGGAGTCGGCTTCCTGCGAAGGGCCGAGGGCGTCAGACCGAGGCCCCGCGAGGAGAGCGCCGCCGCCTGCGCTCCCCGGGCTCTGCCCGGCTCGGTGGAGCCCGGGGCGCCTGTGTTGTCCCGAGGAGGTGAGGACCGTGGGATCCCAACCTGCTGCGCCTCTGGGCGGTCCTTGGCCTGCCCCCAGCCTGCCAGCAGGTCCGCACCGGGACCCCACGTGCGTGGGCCGGTGGGCCCAACCCGCCTGGCCGGGGGTCTCCGGCCGGTCCCGAAGCTTCGGGCTTCTCTGGGCACCCGGGGCAGATGGCCGGCCTCCTGGCCGCCGGATGGGGCGGTGGCGCCACTGGCGCAGAACTAGCAGGCGCCCCTTTGCCCTTCAGCGGTTGCCGCAGACCGCAGGCGGAGGCTGGCAGGCGGCGGAGGGTCTTCCGCGGGAGTGGGGAGCGAGTGGCGGCCGGAAATCAGAATCTTCCCGTTGGGAAGACGCTGAGAGGAGACCGACTTTACTTTCCGCTCCCCAGTCACCTTCCTTGCAGTCATCTTCCCCTTAGCCATCCAGACCCAGTGAGTCAAGATTTGGCTTAAACACTTCCAGGGATGAGGCACTCACTACCTATCAAAAATCAGCCCCGCCCGGCTTTGAATAACTACCCTTGTGAGAAAGTATCTTTACTTCCCAGCTAAACAATCGCAATTCCCTTGGTTCTGCCTTCGCTGCCACCCTCCAGCGGCTGCCCCAGCCTGCTACTGAGGTCCCTAACACGGGTGGCCACTCACGGACATGGGTCCCAACAGTGCCCAGCCTCCTTCCCAGACCTGAGACTGACTAATGCAGCCTGATACGTTTGGGGCAGCCTCGTGATGCTGTTAGTTCGTGATACGCTGATTTTGCAGTAAAGGAAAACCTCGGGTGTTTTTAAGAATTGTTTTTATGTTATTGCACACAAGCTGCCAAGCCGATCTCCCCTCCTGAACCTGTGTGGCTGCACTTTTGCACACGTTCCCACATGTGCCCGTCTCTCACTTTAGTGTTGACCTATTTTCTAGTCTAGTAGGTGGATTCTCAGCAAGTAGGTTGCCAAAACGTTCTGGATGGCAAGATGAACGCAGCTTCTGTCTTTATGTCTGTTCTGAGTCCCAAGGACCCTCAGACTCCTAGGGCATCTTTCTCTCTTCCTCGAGGCTGCCCATTCCCCCTCCAGTGCCCCTGGGCCACCACTCAATGTCAAATAGGGGCTGCTTCCTAGCCCTAGGAGCTACCCACACATTCTTAGCATGTGTACACAGGACAAAAGCGCCCTTTTCAGGCCTAGCACAGTGGGTCACCCTCTGTAATCCCAGGACTCTGGAAGGCTGAAGCAGGATTACTTGAGCCCAGGAGTTTGAGACCAGCCTGGGCAACATAGTAGGATCTCTTCTCTACAAAAAAATTAGTTGGGAATGGTGGTATGCGCCTGTAGTCCCAGCTACTCGGGAGGCTGAGGAGTTCGAGGCAGCAGTGAGCCGTGATCGTGCCACTGCACTCCAGCCTGGGCAACAGAGATCCAACAGCTATCACCTCTGGTGCCACCTTCTTCCCCCCACACTCCAGCACACCCTGGTTACCTCGGTGCTTGGCTACACTGTAGAGCCCAGGTCCTGCACCTCACCCTGGAAGACACATCCTCTGGAAGGTTTGCTCCCTATTGGCCGATAAGCTGAAAAGCCGAGGTGCAACTTTGTGCTTAAAGAACAACCCCATCTACCCTAAGGAGGCATCTGGGCTCCTGAGCAGTAGTGAACTCCTGTTGGTGAATCCCCAATGTCCTGAACTGCCCCTGGCAGTTCCTTCCCTTTCCTGCAGTTTCTGTGACCTCAAGGCCATTGCCTCTGTCACCTTTGCTCCTGTCATTTGGCTTTCACTGTTTTCTTCTCGTCTGACCCTGAGCCTTCCCAGTGAGCTTAACATTGCTCATCTTCAAGGACTGACTAGTCAGGACATGTCCCGTAACTGGCTTTCCTTGGTGTTTCTTCCCTTCTGTGGCTAGGGCTCCTTAGTAACAAAAGGGACCCTCCGCTGAGGGTGGAGGACACAAGTTATTGGCTGCAGAAGGCCGGCCTCTGGCGTGGGACCCTTCCAAATGGCCATGTGATGAGTCAGGATTTCTGTTGTGCTCCCAAAGGTCCATTCGCTCAGAGGCCTGGAGTGATGCTAGCTCTTCAGCGCCTACACGGAAGGAGTCTGTTCCAGCTGGCTACATTCCCGTCCAAAGACAACCCTGCACCCTGGAGGGGGTGATTAATGGCTCTTAAGAAGGGTATGGGAGCATGGCGGCAGAATGTCTCCAAAGGGTTGCTGGAATTCAGTCCCCAGTGAGTATGCCCAAGATTGCAGCAGGCAACACAGCAAAACACAGCAAGGACTCCACAGGCATCCGGATTCAAGACAGAAGCCACTGGTGACCTTCTACTCGCTGCTCCAGGTCTGTGTCTGCAGGTCACACCACGAGCAAGCACCACAGATGCCCCACCACATTCTGTCTTTCCAGCACCTTCTGGTCCATGCTCCCATCTAGATTAAATGTTTACAATCCCCAAAGTCAGGAGACTGCCGTTTGCTGGCCTCATCAGGGCTGGTCTCTGGCCTCTGGCGGGGGCAGGCCTTTTCAGATTCAACCATGACTTTAAAGAATTCAAATCGCAGGGTTGGATTTTGAGTTCAAGTTGTGGTTTCTGAGCTGCTGATTATTCTTCATGAAGACCCTTATCGCCCACCCCCAGAAATCTCAGAAGAGCATGGGGAAAGGGCAGTCCACATGGGAAACTTCAGGGGAGACTTGCTCCAAAGCCCCTCGCAGGGAGGATGCGTCCTTCCCCTGCTCCTTTCAAGCTAGAATCTCTCAAAACCAGTTTGAACTTGAAACCACAATTTTCCTGACACTGGATCAAAGGCTTGTCTTAAAGGAGCCAGCCAATATGCCTGGGATCACCCTGCGCCACCGGGGGACAGAGCAGCCTTTATTCCCATAGGATCCCCGGTAGCCTCTGACCACTGCACTCAGAGAAGATGGGCTCTGTTGGCTGGGCGGAAGGGCGAGCCCCAAATGTGCCCGACTCCTGTGCTTTCCAACGAAAAGCACCAGAGGTTCGGTTAATTAGACCACAGTAAATAAAGTAAGACTCCAAAGGGCATGTGGCAACAGGCAACTGGGTGTTCGAGGAGCCCCTCGGGGCTGGGGGCCGGGGACCAGCTGCCTGGACCTGTACACACAGCTGACAGTGGGATGAGCTCAGGGAAGGCAGCCCAGGGACCCCAGGCCTAGCAGGTGGCCGACAGAACCATGAGAGGATCAAGCGGTGTGCTCAAGTCAAGGGCAACCAGGAGGGCGCTGGGTTTCCAGCATTTGCTGGGATTCCATAAAGTCACATGACAAAGCAGAGACAAAGATGCCATTTCACTACCTAGAAGAGTGCTCTGACAGCAAGAACAAGTGACTCAGCAGCCACACTGTGGAGGGGACATACCTCAATTTGCAGGAAGTTGGGAACAGTGTACTTGGGATGCTGGACAGCTAGACAGGAAGAGAAGCAGAAACCAGTGGACCTTTCTTCTTAAATTCTACTTTATTTGGTAAAACTCAGAAACTAACAACCAATTCACATCCCTGCCTCCTTCTGATGGAAGAAGGCAGTCTGCAGAGACCAAGGGCTAGGCTTGGGGATCACCCACCAGCTCTAGGTTTCACCCCCAGGCAGCCCGTGGCCTGAGCTCAGGCCTCTGGGCTTGACAACGCTCAGGGGCAGCAGAAGCAAAGTCACAGAAAGGTCTCGCTGCAGAAAAAATGAAACCCTCCCGACTCTCTTCCCCTGTCTGCAAGCCCCTCCATCCCCAAGCTAAATACAAAGACAGGAGAGGACGATGCATGAGCATGACACACGCACGCACGCACACAGCTTTCTTTCAGCCAAAGAGCTGCAAAACCCCTCCCTGGGAGGAGGACAACAGGCAACACCAGTGGGGCTCGGTGGTCCAAATGACGGCTGGAATCACACAAGACTGGTAAAAATCCAGGGAGAAACGGGTTCACCTTCAGCCCACTCCCAGGTCTCTAGCGAACTGGTTTTAGTTCTAGGAAAGCCCCATCCACGCAGGTGGAATTAGCCCAAGGGAGCTAATTCCCCAAGAACTGTAGCTTGGGGGCTGCTGTCCTAGGGAAAGGCCAAGAAGACAATGATGGGGGGCAGTGGGGCAGAGCCCTTGGGGAGGGTCAGGAAAGGGGCCCCTGCCCTTGGCTAATGGATCCGAGTCAGCTCCTCCACCACCTTGATGAGGTCGTCTGCGGTGGCCTCTCGCTTCATGCCGCTGCCATCGTCATACTGCAAGGAGAATGGGGGCTGTGAGGGCACACTCCCCCAGCTGAGAGGGGTCTGTGAGGGCACGAGGATATGCTCCCCCAGCTAGGAGGGACAGGCTTCCCACGGCCAGGAGAAAGCACTCACCAGAAGCCCACACCTCCTGTGGGTGCCACAGGTTGGCAAGGCCTTCTTAGGCAGAGCTGGCTTCAGGTCACCACCCTTTGCATGTTTCTCCCTCTTCGAGGATGGAACTCACAGGCACCATCTCAAGCAACACCCCAAACTCTAGGGCCAGGACAGTCACTCATCCCTGCAGGATCAGACCCTGCCTCCTACTGTGGGTCCTGCCAGAGATCCACACGTGCCCTCTATGCTGAAGGCTGGGTTCATGTGGGTGGAGTTTCTAATAGAGGGTTGTCCCGGTGGGAGCCTATGAGCCTTAACCACACAACCTCCTGTCCCTCAACTCTACCTTCCTATCCACAAAGGATTACAGAGGGTCACCGAGGAGGGCCTCTGGGACCCTGGGACTGGGAAGGAGGGGTGCCCAGGGTTCTGCCGCTCTCCTGGCATGTCCCGACCCGCGAGGGACCTGTTGAACTGGCCCGGGGCTGAACAGCTCACCTGTAGATTTGCCACAACCTCCTGCATCTTGGGACGGCTGATATCCAGGAAACTCTCAATCAAGTCACCGTCAATGAAGCCTGTGGCCGGTTCTGTCTTACGCTCAGTGTGAAAGGATCTCCAGGTGGATGGGAGTTAAGGAATGTGCGCTTGTCGGGAAACACCTTCATAGACATCCCCACCTCTGAACAAGGCCATAGTCTAAAGCAATCATCAGGGCTAGAATAGGAAATGGCTCAACTAAAAACCACATTGCTTTTTGGTCATTTTTGGCATTGAAATGAACACTACTACTTAATCCAGCTGGCTCTTAATTGGGGTGATCTTTAAAATACTGTTTTTAGAAATACAGACCAGACTGGGCACAGTGGTTCACACCCTGTAATCCCAGCACTTTGGGAGGCTGAGGCAGAAAGATCACTTGAGGCCAGGAGTTCAGGATCAGCCTGGGCAACATAGCAAGACCTTGTCTCTGCAAAAAAAAAAAAAAATTTAGTCAGGCATGGTGGTGCATGCCTGTAGTCCCAGCTACTCAGGAGGCTAAGGAGGAAGGACTGTTTGAGCCCAGAAGGTTGAGGCTGTGGTGAGCTGTGATTGTGCCACTGTACTCCAGCCTGGGTAACAGACTGAGACCCTGCCTCAAAAAAAATTTTTAAAAAAGCATTCTAGGAGACTCTGCCCAAGACCCACTCAACTAGGTATAGCCCCAGAGCTTCACAGATCCTGAGACAGCCCCATCAGCCCTGCCCACTGGGCTGGGCAGACTCACAGGGAGGCGCTCCTCCCTCCCACCTGGGAAGGACGCTGCACCTCCCACCGTAAGC